GCCAATACATACCACAAAAGAAAGATGTAGGTTTTGCATCAAGGGAACGTGTCGTCTAAAGTGTGAAAAATGTGATGCAAGTTCTGTCTCACTGAGGAGAAAAACTGTTTCAAATCCTTTCATCAAAACAAAAAATTGTAAACTGCTTTGTTTTCTTATCACCATGTAGTTGTAATGGAAGGCCTGGGCCAAAATGGTATAAAGGTTTTTTAGATAAGCATCCTAAAATTTTGGAAAGGATTAGACAAACTTTAACACCAGCTAGAGAAGGTGTCACGGAATTACAGCTTCGAAATTGGTTTGAAGAAATTACAAGGTACCTAATGAAAAGAATATACTGTATGTTGCTGATCAACCATACAGACTTTTTAATGCTGATAAAACAGCATTTTTCCTTCAGCCAGAGATCAAGTTTTAGCAAAAAAAGGGTGAAAAAAATTTTTATAGTACAGGAGGAGATAAGAACGAAAATCTAACTGTATTGATAACCGCTAATGCTGCTGGTCAGTTTGCTCCGTCAATGGTTTTATTTAATTACATTAGAATTCCGAGTTATATATCACCTAGTGTTCCAATAGAATGGGCAATTGGTACTTCAGAAAACAGGTTGGATCTGTGGACCTACTTTTCTATGAGTACATATTCAACATGTTTGTGCCTTGCTTAATGGGGATATTGAATAGGAATGGGGATATTGAACGACCCGTTTTGTTCTTTGTCGATGTCCATGTGTCCCATACGAATTTGCATCTGTCAACTTTTTGTACCAAAAATGGAATAGAATTGATCGCCCTGTATCCAAATTCTACGCATTTACTACAACCAATGGATGTAGGTGTATTCAAGCTGCTGAAGAGAGCCTGGAAAAATGAAGCATTAACATTGTGGCTTGATAATTCTGGAAATAAGTTACAAAAACAACATCTATTTCTCAGCAAACCATCACGAATGCGTTTAAAGCTACTGGATTGTGCCCTTTTACTGTTGAAAATGTCAATTTTGACAAAATTTCACAGCACCAAGTTGTGGTCAGAAATATTAGGAGCAACACAGCAATATTTATAACGGCACTCGAAGAAAAGATTGGTAAAGACAAATTACACAAATTTAAAGATTGTCTTTCAAATTATCAGCAAATCGAATTGACAGATACATCCCTATTTCAAATTTAGAAGGATGCATATGAAGAAATAAATAAAAGAGCGGACAAAGAACAAACAAAAAATATTTGTAGTATAGCTCAAAATCTAGTGTCTGATAACGATGAATCCTCGGAATCTATTAGACCTATAAACATATTCAGTCAAGCAGCTCAAATAACAGGAAAGTTTGTGACTTGCCCAAACCAGGAACTTCAAGGGATCTTGATTACCAGTTTTGTAGTCCCAAAGGAATAATAACTACTGAAATTAATGCTGGAGAAGTTTGTGACTCACCCGAACCAGGAACTTCAAAGGATCCTAATTACCAGTTTTGTAGTCCCGAAAAACTAATACCTACTGAAATTAATGCTGGATAAACTGTATTAAATAGTACCTTTCCTTTAGATGTGCCATCGCCTTTTAAAAAAACGTTATTCTGGCCAGATCGTACTCCCAGAGGAACCAAAAAAAGAAAAAGAAAGGAAAAAATACCATCAGTTGTTACTTCAGAAGCGTGGCAAAACTATTATAAGAAAAAAGAAGATGAGAAAGCCAGAAAACTTAAAGAAACAGAAAAGAGAGCTTTTGTAAGAGAGCAAAAAAATTAGGTCGAATTAAGAAAAGGAATAAAGAAACCTCCGATTCTGAAAGTTCTAAAGACTGGATAGAAAGTGGTGACAGCTTAGATGACATAGAAATCAATAAGCAAGAAGACACTGCATTTTCAGAAGTACATGTTGTTGGTGCAGTTGCTATAGGAGACTATCTGCTTGTTAAGCTTCGTGGAGAAAAAGAAAAATTGTAACATATAAGTATGCTTGTGTTGCTCAAAACATATTTCCTGAAGAAAGTCAGGTAGAAGTGATTTGCCTTAAAGCAACTAATGATGAAAAAACTCAATTTAAAACTAACGAAAATTACGTTTCAACTACAAACTTTTTAGATATAATCGGTAATTACACACTCCTGAAATTGTAACTTCAGGAGATAGGTTAAAATATACCTTTTGAAAGCCTATCGATGTATGTGAAGCACTTTAGATACCTACTATTTTTTCAGTTTTCTTTTTTAATACATAGTTTAGTTTTTATACATAGTTAAAATATCATTAATAATTACTTTTTTGCGATTTTCATGTCAATAAATAGGATGTCAAAAAATGGATTTTTTCAAAATTAGTATGTCAATTACTGCGTAACAAAAATTGTTCTGTATCCTTACTAGAATAAAACAGAAAATATGTTTCTTTTTATTATTTAAATGTTCCATTTCATTAACAATATTGCAAAATACTTTTTTGTTGTTAAAGTTTTTATATGTTAAAGTACTTTATGTTAAAGTAAATAAGTTTTTTCCTCTACATGTGTTATTAACTGCTAGGTTTACCTTATGTATTAATATTTTGCTGTATATTATATTTGCTATAATAGTACAATTTGCTCTTGTTCGTATTCATGTGATGCTGCTCATTATTTAATGAATATATTCATAAGAACAATTTGATTTTTTATTAATTGATTCACCTTTCTCTTGTCGCCGAATTGATTTTTATTGTATCTTTGCCGAAAAGTAGACAACTGAATAAATTTCGTCTTATGACCTCAGTTTCAAAAAACGTCAATAACCAAAGAACAACACGAGGCGTATATACCATTAGAAAGTGGTACATGTTACTACATTGGAAAGTTTTACATTTAGATGAGTATAAAATTACTTATAGGCTTGCTTCGATGGTTATTAGGATTGTTTGTTAAAAATTCGAAACATACTGTAAATTTTTCACTAATTATAATAATTTTAAATTCATTGACGTTTGGTTTTTAATTTTTATGTGTTATTAATTTGTTTTTTAAGTCGAAAACAATTAGAAACAATCTACATTTCTTTGTTCGTATTCAGTTCCGGTCTCTTGGCATTTATCGGACTCTGAAAGGTTTTTAGGAAAAATAAAACAATAATTTTGATATACATTTTGATAATTGCCCACATCTGGACATTTTAAAATCTTATTTTTAGGATACTCTTCATCCTTTATATTTTGTAGTGAGTTTTTGTTGTCGATTTTTTCCTATCTTTTGTGTAATAACTTTTTTCTATGTATTTTTTTGCATGTGGCCCCGTTGGTTATCCTTTTCATTATCTCCGAATGCGGTCTTCTCAATATATGTTAAATTGATTTTAGGCGGGTTTTTTGTTTCCTTCTCTTGTTAAAGTTAAACCTAGTGTGTTTCTCATATTTTTTTCGAATGCCATCAGGTTATTCTTTTAACAACGGATTTAGAAAATTAATTGAAACGTTTGCAAACGTCTACTCGTGTTTTGGTTGGAGAGCTGAGTAGTGGATAAGGATTCCTTTATTTGGGGGGACTAAGAGAGACTAACTACAAAAAATAAATCAAAAAATACTTACAGAGATGTTCTGGGCAACACTACCCAAAAAGATTCCTAAACTATTTAAAATATTACGTCGTTTAAAAGAATCCTCTTGGTACTTAAAAAGGTTTTTCTTTAGTAACAAATTTAAAGATGAATATCTTTTTGAAAGAAATAAGTTTAAATTCCTGGTTTAAAGAGAAATATTACATATTTATTTTTATTTCACATAAATAGTTATTACAAATAAAAATATCTAAATTTATCAACAAATCTTACATTGAGTTTAACTTGCTAACAAAACAGACTTTAAAAATTTTGGTTATGTACCAAATGACAAAAAAGGATATACTGACCGTCATATGTCAAAATGAAATTCAAATTTTTCCGAATTATTAATTAATTATCAAGGTTAATTTTATTTAAAAGAAAACTAAAATATGACAATTGTCAGACCCCAATTCGTTCTCTCTGCTTCTCCGACCTTCAACTCCCCTTTAACTTTTCGTTGTCAGCCCTCTCTGTCTCTCCTCATCTACTTTCTAACTGCCAGCCAATCGGATTTCTTTTTAATTACGCTTTTGATTTAATAATGGACCTTAAAAGTGCTGGGCCTTTAAATTTTTTGTGGCAATTTATTTAATTAAGACAAATATAGACACTACGCAGTTAATATTTTCTTTAGATGTCTCGCATATACATCTGGGTAAACAAAACTTCAGATTATTATTACGTACCATTCAGGGGCGTATTAAATAAATTTTTATACATATTCGAAAGTTAAAGAAAAAATTCATGTTACACGATGTTCAACTTTCATACGAGCTTTTGGGGGTCTTCCAGGTGGTCTGGTAGTGTTCAGTTTCTCTTTTTTTGCAATATTTGCAAGCCTATTATCACCTATTCTATCAACGTGGCCTCTCCATGCTCTTTTTCTGACTCTAGACCATTTTACCAAGTCTTGGGTGTTACACAATGTCCTGATATCATTGCTTCTCACTCTATCTCTATCTATATGTCTACTAATATTGTATTATTTTGATACCGCGAGTACTTGACAACAAATAATGCACTGAGGTTTGCCTTTTAATTCGATGAAGAAATATTGATTTTCCCATTTTCCTTAGAACGTACGATTCTCATCGAAAATTTTGCCTTTTTTAGCACTACTCATTCTGAATTTAACATTCAATTTATTCGCCACTGTTAATTCAACACGACACGTGTAGCCGACTGAAGCTAACTGCCCGCTCATCGGGAGTGGATGTTCAAGGTTAACTACTTTCTTAAGATTACGGAAAGTTAGAGAGGGTTGGAAAGTTATCAATGGCAATATTTTGAAATGTGTTTGCAAGGTCGCAGTTTAACGCATGCCTGAGGTTGGACCACACTGCTTTCTCTACTATTACTGTTAATCCCTTTCACTCGTATTATTTCCATATTTTTTTAACGTATACACTAATTTAAATTATCTTCTTGTTTCAGGTGAACCAACATGGCGGAAGCCCACTCGGCTGTGGCCTTCTCGTTTGCCATAACTCACGAGGGTTTAGATGTTAACTTCGATCGTGAAGTTCTTCATCTGGTTTGGGAATCCGGTGTACGATCGTGGAAGAAGCGGTTAGCGAGATTCCAAGTATGTATCAGCTGGTAGCGAATGAAAATTCTAAAGTTCTCATTAATTAATTAAAAATATATTAGATGAAACAAATTGAAAATTAAAAATTTATAACATAAATTGTCATAGATTTGATGCATAAGTTACACACATTAAATAATCTAGGGAACAAAAGCAAAATGCGGGATTACAAAAGGATTTCAAATAATTTATTTCAAATATTTTATAAAAGCTTATAAAAGAGTGTCCCGGATATAAAATACACATATTTTTTTAGAATTATGGCAATTCCCCGCAACTCCTAACAAAACAGTCTTTAGGTTGGTTAAGTTAGTATAGTATATGACCTTCACGGTTGTTGATTACTCTATTACATCTGTAAGGCAAACTTATAACCAGATGGTCAATGTCTTGCTACAGTATTCTGTTCCATTTCATTAAAAGGCCCTCAAACAGTTGTTGTCTTATATTGAACGCAATATTTTGTTGTAGAATGTGTCTGACCAAATGTACCATACGTGCTCAATTGGATTTAAATCTGGCGATTGTGCAGGCCATGGTAAAACCTCAATTTCATTACCTTCTAGGAATGTTTGCACGACCCTGACAGGATGGGGACGCACATTGTCTAGCATTAATTGAAATTGGGGACCAGCTTGTTGTACAATGGGTACAACAATAGGTTCGAGAATTATATCGCAGTAGTCGATAGTACAGTTGCATTTAGAAACCGTTCCAGACAAACAAGATTAGTTCTTCCACCAAGAGTGATTCCATACCATACCATTATACTGCCGCTTTGCTGTCTATGAACCTCCTACACTGCTGTCTCCAAATTCTTGTCCACCTTGTATCTGGTGCAAATCCAAATCGGGACTCATCTGTGAACAAAGTAGAGCTCTACTCACGTCTATCCCAATTTGTGTGTTGTTGTGCCTACTGAAGTCGATGAGCGGTATTTCCTCTGGATAATACAGGCACTCTCATAGGTCTTCAATTTAACCCTACTTCATACAGTCTATTTGTAATGGTTTGAACACTTACAATCACCTGATGAGTCTCTTGTACCTGATGCAGTTGCAGTGCAATCTCGCAAATCCTGCAACCTAACAAAACGGTCTTTAATCTGGTTGGTTATCCTTGTATGACCTGTATGACGTTTAGAAACATCCCCAGTTTCGTGATACCTTATCCCAAACGATTAATGACACTTCTGTTCGTGTGCAGGTCCTCAGCAACGTATATTTGACTTCTGCCAGTTTGAAGCATCCCGGAAACACGCCACTGCGTTTTGCGACTTTAATGATGCCTCTCCATTATTGGCAATTGCAAAACTAAATAAAAATCCACATCGAAATCGACACACAGACATCGAATATCAAGTACAAATAAAGAAATATTACTTTTTTATCTTATAAACAAAAAACGCGTATTGAAGTTTTGTTAAATTTTTATAGCCATTCTTATCAGCATTACCGTTTAAGTTGATATAATAATCGTCAAAACAACAAAAAATATTAACAGCATAATTTTATTTTTGTATTTGCAGCTAACGTTGATTTAAAGCTATTAATATAGGTGTCCCCCAGATTATTTTGATGTGTATATATTATAGTAACGCTTATAAATCATGGTTGCCAAAAATATTGGATGGCAATACTGTTTCTTCTATTATCAGTTTTCTTCCTCTCATAGACGGCACTTCCGGTGTTTTTCGAAGGAAAAACAAGGAATTACTTTGACATAGTTGCAATATTAACGTTTGTTTAACCCAAAAAATGTTACGTTAAGGATAGATATACGTACTCCATTTCGTTACCTTGTTAACTTGATATCATTACAAGTTCACTTGTACCTGATAATTAAAACTAATTATTGTCGACTACTTGCTACCAGTTTGTAATTGTTTCGTGGGAAAACTAACGATTGGTAGCCACTTTTTTTGAGATAGAAAAAAAAATAAGGTGTCTCGGCGTTTAATTTTCGTTCAGTGTAATGTTTTCAATTGAGTATAAAGGACTTAAGTCTGACTACAACTTCTGGATTTTACTCTACCATCAATTTTATGTAAGTTTTACTTTTATTTATAAAATAAACTAACTTCCTGCTGGTATGGTTAATAACAATTGTATCATTACTAGTAAAATTGGTGTTTGTTTTGAGGCTACGTTTTGAACAGTAGAACAGTGTGAACGAGCATAGACTCAGGAAGGCCGAGGACACCGAGCAAGGGTTTTGGACGTCACAGAGGGATTACAGAGCGCTAAGATCGCAGATTAAGACTTCTGAAGCTAAGAGACAAATTCGGTAGTACTCGAGCTATCGTAAATCAGTGGTTTGAAGAGCATGGTGATGGAATATGAAAGAGAAATTCAACGTCTAACTACTCTATATGAAGGAGTAACTTCGGATGTAGACAATGATTCCAATAGTTCTATTGCCGACGATGATATGTGATAGAAATTTACACCACCTACAAATATTCGCCCAAGATGGGAGAATATAGTTTATCACTTATGCACTATCCGAGAAGCAAAAAAAACAAGTCCCATTGAATCGTGGAATCTTCTAATGCAAAATATTATTGAACTTGTAGTAGAATACAGAAATATTTATATTAGAGAGATATCTGGAAAATACAAAAATCAAAACGACGTCAAACTTACAACATCTGTTCCGAAAATGAGGGCTATTATCGCTTTGATATATTCAGCAGTTTTGGAGCGCGGCTCTCGAAAAAATTTAGAAGAATTCTGGTCGGACGATGGCGTGGGATCAGAAGTATTTGTAGCGACCATGGCACAAAGACGATTTAGATTTTTGTTAAAAGTAATACGTTTTGATAAACTAGAGACAAAAGACTCAAAATCGATAAACTAGCTCCGGTAAGAGAGATTTTTGAAACATTTGTAAAAAATAGTAAATCTTGTTATACCGTTGCTGACTATGTAACTCTCGATGAGATGCTTTTTTTCTTTTCGTGGAGGTAAAAAATATGGTATCAAAGTATTTGCCACTGTCGACGTAAAACCATTTTACACTAACAATATGTTACACTTTTATAGGGTGCTTCACAGTCTGAACAACACAGTAAGGATGAAACTTTTCTCCATGACGACTCACAAGCTGCGCTTTGTTTTGCAAAATTTCAAATGTGCTTTCATCACTGAAGCAGACCTGTCAACAATAGAAAAAAGAATATGTGCTGGTCTTTATGTTGGTTAAATGCATTATTTGTGAAAGAAATATGAAATATTATGCAAGAAATTATGAACTTACCGACCTCCAGAAAGAATTTTCAGAAAAGCACTTTCTGAAAAACAAGAAGGAATACTTGTAAACGGCGAAGTCATCAATAATTTGCGATATGCGGACGATACAGTACTCCTAGCTTCTAGTCAAGAAGATCTGTAAACACTACTTGATCTTGATAGTGTCGTTGAGAGTTGTAAACAACAGCATATAAAACCGTCTATATATGTAAATAATACCAAACTTGAGCAAGTTGATAAAATCGTTTACCTTGGACAGCTATTAAATTGTAACGCAGAAAGTCACGGCGAAATTAGATCTACGATAGAGCAGGCTAGAGCTGCTTTTAGAAGGATGTCCAAGGTGTTATGTAACAGAGACCTAAAATTGGCTTTGAGGATCCGCCTACTTCGCTGCTACGTATTCTCGGTCTTACTTTATGGTGTCGAGTCCTGTTCTGTGAATAAAATCAATCTAAATCGCCCTTAAAGCTTTCCAAATGTGGTGCTATAGAAGAATTTTAAAAGTTTCCTGGGTGGAGAAGATTCGAAACTCCACAATACTAGAACGTGTCAGCAAGACTACTGAGATCATAAAAAGTATCAAGCAGAGAAAGCTGGAATATTTCGGACATGTAATGAGAGGTTTAGGTTTCATAACAGTGTGTTTTTCCGGGAGTGGGTTGTTAGCCCACTGCCCAACCTTCCTCCTTTACCCGGGCTTAGGACCGGCAATGGTGACTCCTGAGCTATTCAATCCACCCATTAGTCACCACAGGCGGAGTTCTAGAATAGTAGTAGTAGTCAGTAGAAAACCTACTGACCAATAAAACGGTTCAACTGGCTGCCTACGCCGATGATATTAATATTATGAGTAGAACATCAACAGGAGCACAAGAAGCATACGCAGAGTTAAAAACACAAACGAAAAGGCTAGGTCTGGAAATTAACACAGAAAAAACAAAAATAATGGTACAGACGAGAAGAAATATAATCCCACAAAACATTATACATGAGGATGACATTGAAACGGTTGGAAAGTTTACATACCTGGGAGTAGAAATATATGCCGATGGAGCAGAGGATGGAGAAATACGAAAAAGGATAACGCAGGCAAACAAAGCTTATTTTGCCCTCTCCCATATATTCCGGTCTAAAAGTGTCCACCGAAATACAAAGATGAGAATATATAAAACTTTAATTCGGCCAATAGCATGTTATGGCAGCGAAGCATGGGTCCTGAAAGAAACATCCAAAAACAAACTCGACACATTCGAAAGAAAAGTACTGAGGAGAATACTAGGACCTGTGAGGGAAAACGGAATCTTCAGAATTCGATATAACAACGAGCTCTATCAACTGTATAAGGAAACACCCATGTCAAACTTCATTAGAATACAAAGATTGCATTGGCCGGACATGTGATACGAATGGGAGAGGATAGGCTACCAAAACGAGCACTGAACGCCAGAATGCAGGGAAAGAGACCAGTTGGAAAGCCAAGAAAGCGCTGGGAAGACACAGTAAGCAGCGACGCACAAGCACTTTTAGGAGTCCGTGTATGGAGAAGAGCAGCCACAGACAGACAAGGGTGGAGGCAAAAAATAAAGGAGGCCAAGGCTCATTTTGGGCTGTAGTGCCGTAGAAGAAGAAGAATGAGAGGTCCCAAATATAGGTTGCTAAAAAATATCATGCAAGGAAAAATAGCAGGCAAAGGCAGTCCAGGAAGAAGAAGAACCTCATGGTTGAAGAACTTGCGAGATTGGT